GCCCCGCTCCCCCCCCCCGGTCCCAGCGCCTGCGGGAGAGGGGAATGAAGTTCCCCCCGCAACTGAATCGTTAGCCTCTGCCCAAAGGCGGTGAAGGAACCCGCCGCCTGCAGGATTTTAAAACAATCGTTGAGGTGGGCGGGAGGGAAGACTGAAGGTTTGTCCGTCTTGCTTCCCAGTCTGAGCCTAGCCAGTGTCCAAACTCCTACTATTGTACAGTAGTTACAGCCTAAAACAAACCACCTCACTGCTTCAGGGGGCGCTGGTGATAGACTAAGCTAAGCATTTCTATCCCTTAATGAGTTACAGCAAGGGGGGGTCTCAAACTTGTGATACCATGACCCTTCCCCCATTGCTGCAACCAGCCTCTCAACTGCTCACAACTCCCCTCTAATTTGTTTGCAATCCCCCCTCGAAGTTGCTCACGACCCCCAGGGGCTCAGGACCCACAGTTAGAGAAATTTGAGTTCCAGCATCACACAACCCAACTGCTACAATAGCAAGGAGCTGCTTTCAAATATTATTTTGCAAAAGTAACATTCAAGTGCAGCTCTCATAAATGGTTAACATTTCAGCTGTAATTTTACTTTTGGCTTGAATTTTTAAATCGGTGACAACTACCAAACTAATCAGTGCTGCATGTGAGGCAATGTATCATACTACTAGTAGTAGGTAACATGCTCCTACATTTAATAAAGGGTATGTCTACACTACAAAGCACAGCTTTGCTTGAGCCACTGTTAATTTCTACTTTCACAATTCCTTAAATATTCTTTCCCCTCCCTCTTGCCTGGTTGCTGCACCCCTATTACAGGAAAGAAAACCAGAAAAGCATAGGGCAAGTATACCAAGAAACAAACACAAAATGGGACAACAAATTAGACCACAAATTGTTCTGCATAATCTTTTTATTTAGTACCCATGGAAAGCAACTAACAAGTGTAATGAAAAACTTTTATCCACTCAAACTTCATCTCAAAAGAGCCACTGGATAGAAAACCTATTTAATAGCTCTTCAGTGTTGTACCAATGCTGGACCAACTTACTACTGCTGAGACACAAGCTTTTGAGCAGCACAGAACTCCTCTTCAAGTGATAACATCCAAATACCTTCAAAGAGTTTGTCAACTAAAAAAGTACATTTTCTCCCACTTGAAACAGAATTACTGAGGAATCCCTCAGAAGAAACTGACACCATTGCATTTATATTTACCAAAGTTCCCAAAAAATTGCTGTATTAGAACCCAAGGAAAGTAAATTAGAGACATATTAGTCATCAACTCCACTGACTTAATAAGGTAGGTTTTTTTTTTTCCCTCTCTTGCCATGTATTTTCTAGTATTTCAGCTCTTCTAGTTAAGTGCTTTAGGAGATTGTATTTTCCCCACTCATTTCTTGCAAGATATTATTCAAAGTAGACAGACTTGTCTCCACTACAGCGGAGAAAGTGCAAGCATGCACACAGTTAACTGATGAGCCTGGGCCCATTGGTTAACATGCATGGTTACATGCAGCCCCTCCTGCCACCTCTGTATCAGAGGCAGCTGTGCAGAGGGACAGGCTGGAGCTAATACACACAAAGTCTGTATCAGAGGCAGCAGTGCGGAGGGAGAGGCTGGAGCTAGTACACACAAAGCCAGCTTTTAAGTTGGTTCCCGTGGAGCTATTGCACTGCTGCCTCTGATACAGCGGCAGTCGGGAGCTGGTGTTTGCGGGGAGCCAACTTAAAAGCTGCTTCCCCCAGCACATAAGTGTGACTGCTGAAATTTTCAGTGGTTACACGTTTACTTGATTAAGCACATTTTAACACCCCTGGTCTCCACTATGTGGTGGAACAACCCAGCAGGGATTGATCCTCCAGCAGTCAATGTATCGCATCAGCTTAGACATGACAAATCGATCTTCAAGCGTTCCAGAACTCCATCAGAGTAGCCATAATCAACAGGAGAGGAGACCCTGCCTACCTTACCATGTGGAAGGTGCTGCAGGATATCAACTTCAGCTACACTATTTGCATAGCTGAACTTGCACAGGGTAGATCAACATGGGGGTTTAAGAGTAGACACGGCCTCATTGGAGCAAGTTTTTCATAGTACTTAGCATGACATTTCCTTTTCAGTTTATAAACCTGAAATAGTTCCTCTTCCTTGATATTTACACCATTTAACATTTTTGCAGATTACAGAAATACATTTAAATTATTTGTGCACAGGTTGTGCATTTAGATACTCCTGGTCAGCCAGACCTAATGTGTTGCAAAAACAGGACAGACTATGTCTGCAACCAGTATTTAATACCTAGGGGTAGGGGTGCAAGTTAGAGTTGACCACCTGAGACTAACAAAAAGGGAAGATAATATAACCTAATTTTTCCACTGACTGTACTGATTTGACTGCAGCCTCAATTAAAAAAAAATCAGGAAATGCTTTAATTAGTTTATGTTACTAATGCTATATATGGAAAATAGTTGTATTTTTCTGAAACAACAGGTACTACAATTCTTTAAAATAGGGAATGTGAAATATTCCAACTGTCTATGATGTTTTACCATTAGCTTCTGCCTGAGTTGGTCTTTTAAAACCAGGACACGTAGGTAGAATGACAAATGCTTTGCACGTATCTTTTATTCTTTATTAATACTCAATGAGACTGTAGCTGGATATTGTTTCCTTTCGCTATCAGCTCTTCAAAACTAAGGCTTTGCCCGCCCATGCAACAGTTCAAGGGCAATACTGCAATCTTTTAAAGACGTACTTGTGGCACAAAACTAAACAGAATACGTCAATGCTTTCTTAAACAGCAATGACTTCACTGCCCAGAGCTAATGGAAATAGTTTCTACACCTGTTCCCCTTAGCAGTTTACCTACTAAACAAGCTTCACAAAAGCTATTTACTTCAAAAGTAATCTCTTTAGGTTGTCCTTAAATGCATTCTTGTATAAAGTGACTCTCTCAACCCTGCAATCTGGCTGTGACTCACTAGCCACAGCCACGAGATATGGTGAATAAGGATAGTACAGAATCCTCATGCATGCATTTCTAAATCATGTTTTCCATCTTAAATTCAATAATGTGTTTTTATGCATCAAAGTTCATTATATTTAGAAGTGGTCCAGAATTAATTTGGGCAAAATAAACCACAACTAGCTTTAACCACAGAAGAATGGGACATCAATACAAATAAAAAGTGTGCTGTATTTTAAAAGCTTAATATCTCTGCATTGTTTTAAATGTTTATATATTTGAAGATGCTATAGATTTTTGTACATTTTGTAATAAACAGGAGGAAAATATATTATTGGTATTGCATACCATTTAAAATTTGCAAGCAATAAAATAAGCACAGTTGTACTAGTCCAACACATCTGTTTCAAATAACTGCATTACTTGCAGAGGATTCTTCTGCTCCATTAGAGCATCCTTTAAACAAACAAGTACTCTCCCTCCCCTGATGTGACAATTAATACTCCCCATCTCCACACAACTACCAGGAACTGTCACTGTCAGCACAGGAGCAACCGACAGCTCTTATGCTGGGTTTGTGTGTCTCAAATTAACACTAAATAGACGTTACTTCTCACTTGACAGAAACCACTCATAGAATGTTTCACTTTGTTATGGCTCCACCTTGTCCCTCAAATGGTCAGATTTTATTTATTTATATGTAAAGCTATTTTAGCTTTTCTGAAACAGCTCATACAATTAGGTCTGGCTCCTAGGATGTGGGGGTCCTGAATGCAACTCTCAAATTCTTCTTGGTACAAACTAATATTGGCATTCAAGTCTGAGGTAACACCATGGTGCCCCTGTTTAATGCACAGGAATCCTAGGAAAATCAAATAGCTCTGAAATAATCAAAAAAGCAACCCTAGAAACAAATGATCTCTGAAATAATCAAAAAAGCAACCCTATAAACAAATGATATCATACTGGTAGACTACTACATAATCCCAATTTCATGTATCAGTGCCAAAGAAGTGGTGCATGATTCCCACATTCACAAGCAAAACATCATTGAAACCAGGTTTTACCTCTACATTTATTGCAGATTTTAAAGGATTAACAATGTTAACATCTTCACTTGTACTAAAAAGAAAACTTCAGTTATCCAATAATTAAGCATCTATTTATTACTAGCTTAGCACGACTGCGAATTTGCACAGAACGAAAACTAGCAAATTGCTCTACAAGATCACTAACAGTAAAAACAACCAAAAGACAGCAGACACACCACTGAAGTTAGTTAAAATGTTCACTGATGCTTGTAGTCTTCATGGAAGAGAGCCTGGACACTAAAATAACAGAAAAGAAACTAGTAAACAAGGTAATGTATCTGCACAATGTTTCACACATGTACCTGTATTTAAATTTTCAAATCAGAGCTGCCTGCAAAAGCAGGTTAAAATAAAGGGGTGGGGGGAATCCTTTTGCAAAAGGACAGTAAGGTCATCTCTTGGTGAAACAAGATAAAAGGGGTACACAGAAACCCACTTGAGAGCAACACTGGAATCTTAGCACCAGTGCTGCTCTGCTGATATCTTGTCCAACATCAAAGCTTGGCACAAGAACGATTGACCATACTACAGTTATCCAGGGCAGCAGATTAAGATTCCCCTAGGAACTATTGTTCACATTTATTTTCAAGAATGCATAATACTCAAGGAAATTGCTCTAAACGGAGTTGAAATCAGCAGGGAATGTACCATTTTCCAGTCAGGATACTGAATTTTTCCAGACTGGATAAGTAGTGTTCAGCAAATGTACCCCAAACGGTACGGTGCCCAATCTGTTTAAACCAGAACAGGCCAGAATGGTGATCAGGGTCGAGGGGGCTGAGAAAATGGATCCCAACATAGTGTGAAGCCACACATTGATTTGTCTTTTTCTGCAAATCACACAGCATGTAGTCAAGAGATTTGCTTCCAAAATGTAAATGTGAAAGAAGAGGTGAACTGGAAGCATGTGGAAAAAATAAAATAAAATAACTGTAAACAGCAACAATGGCAGCTTTGTCAATGAAACCAAAAAGGAAAGTTAAACCCATACTAGTGGGTATGAGAAATAACTCTGGGGTCAACAGTATTGGTTCCAGAGTGTCACTTAACACAGACCATGAATGGTAGAACTCCTCTTTAAAAAAAAGACTCAGTTTTTTTCAATACAATGTCTAATTAAGCATGGGAAAGGGAAAAGTGCGGCGGAAAAAACCTCCAGATAGCTCCCTGTGAGGTAAGTATAATACTGCCAAATATTGTACCAGCTGAACTTAAAAGGCAGCCTCTCTCCAATATGATTGTGCTGATCATGTTTCTAAACATTTCCAAGCAAGGCCTATGGGATAAATCTTTGTAGCATCACCAAATATCTTGAATAAAGTCTGATGAATCAGGTAAGCTTTGAAAATACTGTATTTATAGTCCTGACATTTTAACTTCTTGCAATGTGAAGGTGGAGAAGCATGTGACGTTTATGGAAAAATTTAACTGTACCAATCATTTTTATCTGCTATTTACTGATTTAAGCAGTCATGTGCTTTCAGCTATTAAAAGTGAGTGACCAGAAAATTATATAGTGGCATATCATAGCTTAATGCTTTCATAAACACGACCAGAAAATTATATAGTGGCATATCATAATGCTTAATGCTTTCATAAACACATAGAGAAATCTTGCTTTCATAAGTTAACTGATTTTACAGGAATGAAAAGGTTTTGGCGCTAAAGAATGAAAATTAAGATACTCCCTTTCAATTGGCAGGTTTATTTATTTTTATAATGAGGCCATGACTGTCCTTTGCCCAATAGGGACAGGTGAGTTAATAACTAGAGATCAAGTTCTCACATGTTCATTACCGTAAACTGTTTGCATTACAGCAACATAATGCCAGATGGAATCATTAACAACCTGCACTCTCCTGCAAGCTAAACATGCATCAGATCAAGACATTCTCTTTCAAGAGGAAGTAACGTTTGCCACTGTCACATACAAAAAGTGATGGCTCAACTATTTTTAGAAGTGTAATGATGGAGAATAAGGAGCAGGCTAAAAAGTGCAACTGATACTATTAAATTGTCACTTAGGGCAATCCAGACATGGATTTTTTACTGACATGCAAACCTGGTGAAAGATAAATGATCCAACTAAATCATGAACATTTGTCTCTAACACTACTGCTAAAGTCTTCCCTGATTTCTTCAGAACTGCTTCACTAAGAATGCTTTGTTTTGTTATTGAAGCATAGAGTATATTACTGGAGTCTCATTTTTGTTTTTAATAAAGAGAACAATGGAATACAAAAGTTCTTTAACAATGTCAGGTTTTGTTTCATTTTCCTGGCGTCTTGCAGTAAAAGAACTTCTGAAGAGCAATGTTCAATAGGATTAGAAATAAGGTGGCTCCCTAAAGTGATGCTCTGACTTAGAAAACAGATGTTTGGCTTCCAGATGATCTTCTATATTCGACTTCCATTACTATTTTAAAACAGTTCCAATCTTCTGCAGAACCCAAGTTACACCTTGTTCGCAGCATTATTTCTTTGAGGGAAAGAAATGATACAAGATTTTATTGAGCAAGACCTGCAAATTCACATAAAAACAAGAAGTACACTTAAAACTGGTACTGCTTGCTTGTTACAGTGAAAATCTCAGCAGCTGAAATTTTTGTTAGGCAGCAGAGTTGGGCATTCTTATAGGGATTCATTATGTTCGTCCTACCCAGGTAGGCATGGATGCCTGCATGCTTATTTTAAAGATTTTATTCTATTAAAAGAAAAACATATCAAGGACTGCTTTGTCTAAAATCATGGCAGCAGTGCAAAAGATGTAGCCATTCAAAAAAGCTTAATAAAATAAAACATCTGGTACTGAGGAAAACCATCTCTCAAAGAGATTCAAATTTGACAATCTTCTCAGCCTGAGGAAGAGGCAGACTGCTTTTCCAGCTCATATTTTTCATGCTGCTTACATTTTTTGGAGCAAACCATCTTATCACATAGTAGGCATTCTTGGCCAAAGAGAAAGGTAATCAAGCACGTCTCAGAGCAAATGAGTTGTTTCTTCCTTAGAAGATGACATCCAAGTTGTCAGCTTGCACAACTAAGTACAAGGCTAACTTTAATCTTAGAAAATGTTTTGGTACATTAATATTCAAGTTCACTGCCACAGCACAGTGTGTTCTTCATACTGGCAGTATGCTGAAAACCTTTCACACAGCAGCTTTTGCATGTCCACATTTTCTAGCAAATGAGTCTCTTGAGTCAAACCTAGAAAGTAAGATGTGGGTAATTCAGCAGTCCAAAGTAGTTCTGGATTTTAACGAAATAATAAAAACCCAGGTACATTTGAAGAAACACAGCAACACTTTCACTTCTGTTAAAAGAAATGCTTTTTAAAACTGCAATATTTCAATATTTGCAGGAATTCATTAACTAGACTTGTCCATTGCACATACCTATTTACTTGCTCTTTTCTGCCTGTACATTTGTATCATTCTTTGACGGAAAACATCAAATGTATCTTCTTTATTTTCTTCCCCTGCAGCACCCAAGCCCTCCCCTGCAGAGGTAGTACCCCTAGGGAGTAAAATGGATAGTTAGCACAATTTGATTCAAATACATTATTTGAAAAAGTGTAGAAAAGATGTATAATAGCAATAGCTTCAAAGAGAGACAGTTATAGAGGAAGAATCTAATTCAGTTTCTCTGTGTGCTGTAATAGGCCAGGTTAACTGTGTATAGCTTTTCCTCCCCATGGACAGAAACAGAAAACAAGCCAAGGTTATATGATATTGCTGAGTAAATGGAAACACAGGTAGTTACGTAGCAAATCAACAATCACATAAACGCCTTTGGGTTGATCACCTGATTCATGACACACAGAGTCCCTATTTAAAATGATGGCACTAGAAGTAGCATTGTTGGCACAGAAACTACCAGATTTCTTGGGAACTGTGCAGAACACAAAATGTCTCCCAAGGTTGTACCACAGGCTACTGTTCTTCGAAAAAAAACCTGATGGTCTCTGATAGTTTCTAACACCAAACAAACTGAGGTGGAGTTGGGCCCACTGGTGCTAAAAACTGTGGTGCCCTTTCTTCAGGAGGAAAGCACATCTTTGCACTAGGAAGGCCAACAAAAGCTGAGGGGACCACTGGCTATAGCATATCAACATCTTAAAAGGGAAGCTACTGGACTGGGTAAACCAGGAGAACTCTGAGCTGGCAAAAGCCCATCTGTTTTCAGTCCATGCTGGCAAGACACATTATCCAAAATCTAGGCTTAGTGAAACCTCTCCCCGAAAAAGAATGATCCTCTGTAGAAGTTTTATCCTTCAAATCAGCTACACTTGAATGATCTTTAAAGGACTTTATAACATGAACTAATCCCCCACCTTTATGTTGGAGAAAAAAAATAATCAGAGAAAAAGTCATCAGCCCTGAACAACCACAGGGTTCGGTGAGCTAGAACTGGCCTTGCTGTGTCACGAGCAGGAACTCAACGCAAGAGGCATCAAGAAACCACCCTCACTATCCAATTTCTATAACCATTTAGCCTCAGCCACCTAAGCCAGGTAGATGGTCATATAGCCCTGGAATATTTGTGCTCTCTTTATAGGAGATGCAGCCTTTGCTGTCTACAGGAACTTTTGTGACTGGTACCAAGCCCCAAGAAGATTTTTTTCCTCCCTTACAATCCCGGCAGAATCTGCCTTGGAAGATCAGTTTAAAAAAAATCTCTGCAGGAAGAGCATAAAACTACTTAACAATACTGTGGTTTCTTGGCTAGGATAGGCCATTGTCCAAAGTGTGCCTTTTTCCACATGACCCATAAAAAGAGGGCTGTTCCTATCCGGTTCACCAAGTCACCACTTCTATTGCATTACAAATCTTCTCAAAAGGCATCACAGAAATGCCACAACAGTGAAGAAATATATCTGTCTGTAACACGTCATTCCTCTGAATCTCCCAATGCATGTTTTCTGTTTCGTCTTTTAGGCTGTCAGCACTTCAGGGCATGAACTGTCTTCATTTTCTGTCTTGTACAGTGCCAACCATTGGTGCTTAAGTAATAATGGATTTGTGAACCTGGAAGACTTCACAATACTTGTTATCATATCTACAAGAATCCCCTTTAGGATACATTTCAGGGCAAGAGTGTAAATGACTGATTAGAGAAGTTAGATGATCACTTTTACAACCAGTCTAAAGACCTTCTGCCTTCACATCTACCTCTCTCAGCTCAATCTCAGGACTGGCTAAATCCATAGCTGTAAGAAATCACTTCTCTGAAAGGAAGAGAGGCACATAAGACCAGTAGTGATTTCCTATAACTGAACTTCCTGTAATTTCTGGATCCATCAGGAGACATCACGTTCATTCCTCATCTCCTCTATGGAAGAGGGACTCAAGAGGAAAAAGGGGATGTTATTCTCAACCTTTCTAAGACTAACCATTATCTTTTCCCTATCATAGGCAGGCCTCAAGCTTCTGTTCCATTTCCACGCACAAGAAGAATGACATATCTGTGATGCACCAACCCTGGAGACAAATGCTCTTGTTGCTTTAATACAGCAATCAAATGCAAAGGCTACTCTTAAAATTACACCGAACTATCTCCAAACCCTCACACACATTATGTCTGTCCACTCCTCTTTGGTGAGATAGAATTACCCAATGTATGGGCCTTCTAACCACATCTCAGAGTGGTACTTATCCACAGAAGGCGGGATGGTTTCCAAAGCATGCAGCACTGCTAAAGGGAGGGTCACGAATCACCCTTAATAGATGAAAAGCTGCTCTGTAGAGCAATTAAAGTTATTACAGTGACACACAAGAAGGTAAATTGCACAGGATAGCCTCACGCGCATTGAGATAATCTCAGATTTGGGCCTGAGACATGCCTCCAGAGAGAAAGGAAAGAACTTAGACCATTAAAGAACCCAGTGTTTTGGAGTTTACCTAGAGAGAGAACTGCAGTTCCCTCTGTAAGTTAAACCTAAAAGGGCAGACCAGTTTTCCTGAGAGCAGTGTACAAGAAGTACATGCACAAACAGTTCTCATTTGTCTGCTATGAGCAAGTGCCTTTCCATAGATGAAAGAGCAGCTAACTTTAGGGGAAAAAAACCAGCACATTTTCATGCCTAAAACTCTTCCCTTTAGAGAGGATCTAAACTTTTTCCAGAACCCGGCAGATTAATAGATGGCTTGACCAAAAGGCTTTAACACTCAACTATTAATTGTGTGCTGGAGAAACCAAAGGATTGCAGGAGTTCTTGGCTCCTCCAAGTGTGTTGGGATAAGGAGTTCTGGAAGCTAAGGATCCAGTATTTTGAAAGAAAGTAGAAAGCTAAAGACCAGAAAGGTCACTTTCCCATAGGGCATTCTGTTTTGAAAGCAAGAGGTGGGAGACTAAAATGGTAGACAGGGTATCCCAGAAGTACAAAACCACACATTTGGCTAAAAGACACCTAACCTAACTAAATGAACGAATTCTGTTGAAGAAGAAAGATGGGAAAAAGTTTCCCTAAGAAAGAAAACAATAAATCAACCAAGTATTTCATTCTGCCAGAATTTCCCATATAAGTAAAGCACTGAAATGTTTTTTGAGCTCCTTGTTTCTATTTGCAGCTTGGAAAAACTATTACCCGCTATCTGGCCTGGAGGAGAACACTGGAGAAGACATCTCTGAAATTTAGAAAAGCTTGTAAAATAATAATGTATGCATTTCAAGAGAAATGCATGCTTACCTTCTAGGAGATGCACTTACCTCTTTGCAGGATGCAGTGGAAAGACGCTTATGTTTACAGTGGAGATGGTGTATTACCTAACACATAAGTACTGTGTGTGGAACTCCAGTGAAGTCTATATATTACAATGCACCAACTGGAATTCTGCATGCAGAAAGCTTGCAAAATAAAAATCTATTTTTCCCCTTCTAACAGAGCAGGGCACCCTATATTACAAGGCTTCCACACAGAGCAGGGTGCCCTCCAGATTTTAGGCTGTGTAAATAAAGAGCCTCAAGGAAGCATTTCCTCCCAGCCTTCAGCAAAGTCCATTCAGGTGGCAGGAAACAGCCTCCCCTTGGAAAAAACTTCACCCAAACTGATTAGTAGATACATGAGGCCTCCAGTCTCAACTCTGAGCAGCCCAAGGAGCAGATCAAGAGTGGGAGTAAGACACAGGACTGATCCCCTCAGGACAGGACAGGGACCCACAATTGCTACTAGCAGCACGGTATTTTCCAAATAAGTCTAGTATTTCTGCAGTTTGTTCCCATTACATACACTTTCACAGGCTCTTTGATTCCTTTTCCTTGTGAACCAAGGCCACGTCCTTCTTGCCAGCCCATCTTCTGCAGCATTTGGAAACCCACATTCTTAACGGTCAATTTCTTTTGTAAAAATTCTAAGTCTTTTGGTTTCTGCAGAGAGAGAGAGAGAAAGCCAGGGAAGAGATTTTGGTACATCCTCATCAGAAACTGCCTGCAAACTGTGTCCAAGTTCCTGAATGTACAGAAACAGATTTAAAAGAATATGCTTAAGTGTTAGGTTTCTTCATCATGAAGAAAAGTGTCAGCTTAAGAGTAATAGTTTGTGTAACCACTTTTCAGAGAACTAAAACCAATGTATCTGACAAGTTACCTTTACTGTGTCACTGGTTTATTTAATCACACTATCAAAAACAGAAGTGTTAGAACACACTATTTTCTTTAATAGCGGTGTTTTCTGATAACAAAAAGCAGGATGAAAAATTTGAAAGATTAATCCAAGTAGCTGCTATAAATTTGTATCAGCGTTAGAAAATTATTCTGAAGCCATAAGGAGGAAATTACCAGATTAACAAATGATTTCGTTCCTCAACAAGGGCTCTAACCCATGGAATGTTGAACAGGGATGTCAATGTGTAGTCCGCCTTGGCTTATCACTTCATCTTATCAACAACATGCACTCCCCACTTGTTGCCTCTGTAACAAGGGATGTGGGGAGGGTGAGCAGATGTGTAGTCCGCCTTGGCTTATCACTTCATCTTATCAACAACATGCACTCCCCCCATGTTGCCTCTGTAACAAGGGATGTGGGAGGGGGAGCAGGAGCCAGTGCCTACGAGGAGCTGGCTTTAAGCAGGCTCCCCATGAGCACTGGATCCTCTCTCCCACAGCCCGACTCCTGCGCTATTGCCTCTGATAGAGAGGTAGTAGCTCAGAGGGTGAGGGGGGCAGGTTGAAGCCAAAATGCATGGGGAACCAGCTTTTGGCTCTCTGCACATGCAGACTCCGTGGACTCACCCATGCCTCTCCTCCACCCCCCCAGAGACAGCAAGGGGAGGCATGCAGGAACCAGTGCTGGAGGGAGCCATCTTAAAAGCAGGTTCCCTGTCAGTTATGTGGGGCACACGGAGGAGGCTGCTGTTAAACAGGCTTTGTCTGCGGAGGGTCCGTGGGAAGTGGAGCAACTTCTGTCCACAAGGAGCTTGGGGGGGGGGGAGACATGGGTGAGTCCATGGAGTCGGCATGTTCACAGAGCCAGCCTGTGTGTGCAGTGGACTCAGGCTCACCATGGACAGAGGCTTGCTTCGCAGAAGTCTCTCCACCCCTTCCTCACCCCCTTCTCCCTTGCAGCAGCCTCTGTCCGTGGAAGCTCAGACCTCTGCGGATAGGGGCTGTATCAGAGGCAGTAGTCTGGTGCGGCAGGCAGCCGGTAAGTGTGGGGAGTTGGTTTTCTCCTCTTGTATACCAGGTCCCACCTGCCACCCTACCCTGCTGCCTCTGATACAGAAGCAGCAGAATGGGGTGTCAGGGGCTCCCCAGAAGTGGGGCTGGGAGCACACTGGCTGCCAGTCCTGCCCCCAGGGACTATCAAATAGTTGTGTGTAAGTTTGAAATCTTACCAGTTACACAACTATTCAATTGCACTATATCGAACATCCCTAATGTTGAACTTTGTCGCCTTCCACTCTATGCACCGGGAATGGAGGGAAGTTGTCTACTCTCAAACAATGCCCTGTTAGAACATAAGAATGGCCATACGGAGTCAGACCAACGGTCCATCTAGTCCAGTATCCTGTCTGCCAACAGTGGCCAATACCAGATGCCCCAGAGAGAGGAAACAACAGGTAATCACCACATGATCCCTCCTGTCACCCACACCTCCAGAGAAACAGGGGCTAGGGAAACCATTTTTACCCATTCTAGCTAATAACCATTGATGGATCTAACCTCCATGAATCTATCTAGCTCTTTTTTGAACCCTGTTAAAGTTCTAGCCTTCCCCACATCCTCTGGCAAAGAGTTCCAGAGGTTGACTGTGTGCTGAGCTGTTCTTCCTCTGGCAAGGAGTTCCAGAGGTTGACTGTGCGCTGAGCTGTTCCTTGCAGGATCCAGGCCTAAGGTTCGGACTGCCATGACAGCCATTTACAGAAGCTGCAATAGAATTATTTTCATAAGACAGAGTGAAATTATACAATTTTCTCACCTTCTTCTTCTTTGTAACAGGGCGACCTCGGGGTCTGTCATAGGCAATTCTGACAGGTTCATGAACTGGGAAGTAAAGCAAAGACAAAAGTCAACCATGCAAGTTACCTATTTTAATATGGAACTAGTGAAACACATATTCATGACTCTCACTTAATGCCTTACTCTACTACCACTACCAAAGACATTAAGGTTAGAGTGCATAAAACCCAAAGATTTTCCAAGGCACAAGTGAGCTCTAGGCACTTAATTCCCATTCACTTTCAAAGGGAATCAAGCACCTAACTACTTTTCATACCTTTGATAGTCTCCCTCAAAAGTAATATAGTCTAAGGATCAATTTCTGCAAGGACTTCATATTTCTTTTAGATCCACTCACTTTGAAAATATTTTGGTGAAAAGCCAAATCCAGACTGGCACATAAATTAGTTCATTGTGTCTTGTTGCCACTGCACATATGGAGTCAATTTTATCCATATGTGGTAAAGATACTAATGAAAATAGTCAGTGAACATGTGCAGTAGTCAATTTTCCGCATAAGTATCACTCAACACAAAAGAAATAACATTACCATATTGTCACATTACTTGACAAATTCCACTTTTGAGATAAAAATATCAAATGAAAATACTTCCCGATGAATATTTTCATGTTGTAAAATGTTCATAACAGACTGACTTTCTATGTACGTTTATTGCCAGAGCTAGAAACAGATGACGGAAGACCTTCACCAACCCACCTTTTTCTCCCTTTGTTTAATAACAGCAGAGAGGAGTGTGAGTATGCAATATCCACATATGCTCACTGAATACAAGCATTGTTGAGACAAGCCTACACCACACAAGTTAGGAGTAAGTTTTACTATTGTATCAAAATGCAATGACTGTCCATCTGTTCATTGGGATGTGCCAATGGCTATTAAACATTTTTATATATATTATGAAATCAGCAACCACAAATATATAGGAATTCAGGGACTCCTTGCTGAGGACCCAGAAAACATCCTTGAAATGATACGTACCTTTTGGTTCCTCTATGAGGCATACCCTCTTAGATGCAGGAATCATGCCAACTTTCAGAGATTTGCTACTAATTCTTTTGCGAGGGAAAGGGGTACCAGGAGCAGAAGCTGGCACCTGTGTTGACAGATTTGGGGTAGTACTATCAGAAGCTGAGCTTGGTTGCATTTCACTTGTTGAAGTATCTTCTCCTGTTTTGGACAGGATTTCTTTGGGTGCAGCCTCCTCAGCTCCACCTGCTGAGACCTCTTCTTCCCCCTCCTCTGTGTGCTCCATTTCCACCTCTTCCAAGGTCTGGGAGATATTCTCTTCAAGTTCAGCTTCTTCCTCTTCCTCCTCATTGTCCTCTTCCTCCTCCTCCTCCTCTTCTAAATTATCCAAATTTCTCTCTTCAGGTTTATCGCTTTCACCAGGGACAGCTATTTCTGAAACAGCACTAAAGTTGATGGATGGGCACAATTCATAGACTTTCATTCGGTAAAATTTGAAAGCAGAACTGTTTTGGTCTTGCAGAAACCTGGACAAAAAAGTGCATTGAAAAGCATTTAAATTCAACAACTAGAAGAGAATTCCTAGGAGCACCCATATAATTAGATACTAAATATGGATTTAGCAAAAAAAGAAAAAAAAGTTTGATGTAGTCATTACAGTGTTATTTTTGTATTATTATGGACTACTACAGGAGCTCTCACCCACATACAAAAAAGTCTAATTGGCCCAAGAGACAAGTGCCATTACACCAACAAAAGTTTGGCCCATATCAGCATAGGCCCACAGAGCAGTAGAGTTGTACCAATTTATAGCTTTAGCCCACCGTGTTCGACATCCTAAAAACAGTTTAGAATGGCCAGGCCAATGGCCCACCTAGCCCAATATCCTGTCTTCCAGTGCCAGATGCTTCAGAGAAAAATCAACAGAACAGGGCAGTTTATCAAGCAATCTATCCCTTGATGTCTAGTCCCAGCTTCTGGAAGTCAGAGGTTTAGGAACAGCCAAAGCATAGAGCCACATTTCTAACCATCTTGGCTAACAGCCATTGATGGATCCATCCTCCATGAACTTTTTTTGAGGGGGGGGGGGGGGGATGGGAGTCCTGTAATATTTTTGGCCATCACAACATCTCACAGTAATGAGATCCACAGGCTGCCGGTGCATTGTGCAAAGTAGTATTTCCTCATGTTTGTTTAAAAACTATTTTCTATTAATTTCACTGGGTGACCCCTCTTCTTGGGTTGCACAAAAGTGTAAACAACACTTTCTTCTTCACTTATGCCACATCATTCATGATCTTATGGACCTCTCTCATATTCCCCCTTGATCATCTTTTACAAGTTGAACTGTCCACTCTTTTTAATCTCTCCTCCCATGGAAGTTACTCCATACTCTAATCATTCTGTTGTCCTCCTCTAACTTTTCCATGTTTTGAGATAGGTTAACCAGAGCTGCAATTTTCAAGGTATGCATATCAGATGGATTTATATGGTGGCATTATGATATTTATTATTTGTCCCTTTCCTAACATTTCCTTTCATTCTGTTTCCTATTACTGGATTTCCACTGCGCATTGTCTGAAAACATCTGCTCAGCTATGTACACTGACTCCAATATCACAGAGTGCTAACTGCTAATTTAGATCGAATTATTTTGTATTCACAGTTGGGACAATATTTTCCAACTAGCCAATTAGCCCATCATAAAATGGGATTTTCAGGTCTCTCCTCCACGTCCGTCTTCTCTCCTGAGCCTCCGGTCTCTCCTCTCTCTCACACCTCTCCCCCCCCTCCTGCCTCTCTGCCTTCTGCCTCTCTCTCCGTCTCTTTCTTTCTCTTCTCCCCCTTCTGCCTCTCACTCTCCCTTTCTCTTCTTCTCCTCCTCCTCCTCCTGCCTCTCACTCACTCTCTGCTCTTTGTCTCCATCGGGGATGCACGCTTGTGCAGGTCCCGCCCCCTGGGTGTGTATGACACCGCCCTGCCACTCTTCACCTCCCGCCGTGGCACTCGGTTGAGTTCTGTGCCGTTCAGCCAGGCTGCCGCGGGGGAGCAAGCAGCTGTTTGGTCTCCACCGTGGCAGCCCAGCTGAACAGCGCAGAAGTCAGCCAAGCACCATGGCAGGAGGCGAAGGAGGGCGGGGTGGTGAAGTACACGGCCAGGCACTGCTCCCTGGTCGTGTATGTCACCGCCCCACCCTGCTTCCCCTCCTGCCGTGGCACTTGGCTGACTTCTGCGCTGCTCAGTCGGGCCACCACGGGGGAGCAAGCGGCCGTTTGGGCCCCGCGGTCCCCATTGCTGCATGGGGATCGCGGACCCCAAACAGCCACTTGTGCCGCTTGCTCCCACGCAGCGCCCTGGCTGAGCGGCACAGAAGTCAGTTGAGTGCCACGGCAGGAGGAAACAGCGCTGCCCAGAGGGAACAGCCAGCGTTTCAGAGTCACAGACATTGATATATATATATATATATGATGTGCATTACTTTGCATTTATCAGCGTTGAATTTCATCTGCCATTTTGTTGCCCAGTCACCGAGTTTGAAGAGATCGATCCCTTTGCAATGCTTCAGTCAGCTTTGGCCTGACCTACCCTGAGTAATTTTGTAACATCTGCAAACTTTGCCACTTCACTGTTTACCCCCTTTTCCAAAACATTTATGAGTATATTGAACAGCACAAGCCCAAGTACAGATCTTTGGAAGACCCCACTTTTTACCTCTCTCTATTGTGAAAGCGACTATTTATTCCTACCCTTTGTTTGCTACCATTTCATCAGCTATTGATCCATGTCTATTGTGAAAGCGACTATTTATTCCTACCCTTTGTTTCCTACCATTTCATCAGCTATTGATCCATAATAGGAATGTCCTTCTTATCCATTGATTGCCTACTTTGCTTAACAGCATTTGATGAGGGTCCTTGTCAAAAGTTCTCTGAAAGTCCAAGTACTCTACATCTACTAAATCACTCTTGTCCACATTTGTTGACATCCTCAAAGAATTGCTTTGGGTTGCACAATTGCTTTGGATGTAAAAAAATTACATCTCCCATTTATCACAACGTCTGTGCATTCTGGAGAGATTCTAGTCTCCTCTCAGCTTCACATATTGACCACTAAGGACAATAAGTTAAAGAAAGACAAATATTTTGACTTGGTAAAACAAATCCAAATCCTCTATTCCTATAAATATTTAAATTTACAGTTGATATCTTCTTTAAGAACCAAAACACAGTGGCCAAATCTACACTGGCAAGTCACAGCACATTAAATCAGCTCCCAGTGCTGTAACTCCTGAGGTGTCCACACTGGCAAGGCACTTAGCATGAACTAAAACTACAGATTCTGCACTCTAGGTAATTCACCTTGACAAGAAGAATAGAGCTTGCTGCACTATGGATACAGCCTTGGGGTTCCAGTGTGGACACTCGAATTTTTTGCTGCATTCTGACTGGCCTCCGGAAATGGCCCATAATCCCTCACATCCTCTCTGCTCCTTATTTTTGAACTCTGCTGTCTGCCCTACAGGTATATGCATATCCAGAGCTCCATAGGGCAGCCTGCATGCTGTACGGATTTGCTCCATGTCCTGGATGGATTTGCCCCAGGACATGGAGCAAACCATTCAAGTGGAATGTTCCTGTTATTGAACACACAGGCAGGCATCTGTGTGAGAGAGAGAGCTGTACAAAAAGCTGGGGAGGAAGGCGGGGGGCAGAGGGTAGCGATGCAAAATCCTATTTAATTGGTTAACTGGATAAGCATAATGTTTGACCGATTAACTGATTAAGGGGATTTAGCAGGGGGACCCCCTCTCCACAGATGGATTGTTTCCTACAGCTATCTGAATTTACAAGACAGCATGGTGAGATCCCCAAAACAGTCTTTTATTCTCTCCCTCATACACATACACGCTCTCCGTCGCACTCTCACCCCTTCCCCTGGGCTTCTGCGGAAGCTGCTCTCAATGTAGTAGGATTACCTCCGTCGCACTCTCACCCCTTCCCCTGGGCTTCTGCAGAAGCTGCTCTCAATGTAGTAGCATGGAGCAATAGGACTGGGAAACTTGCACCATGTGATGCTGACTGCCCCATGTGGCACTGCAAACATGCTCCACCATCACAAGGAGCACAGTGGACACACAACAGTAATTTCCTTGCAGCACTCTGTGAACAGCGCTGTAACTGGCAGCGTAGACATAGCCAGTGATATTAAACAAAGATCTATGTAACTGAATGAGCAAGGCCTTAGTTAGCCAATAGCCAAAAGACAGATCTACGTGTCAAACGGTAATTCTACATTAAAAGCTTGATATTGTAATTTCTCTTATTAGACTATTTACACAAATGAATATGTAGGTTACTCACCAAAGATCGGGGTTGTCTGCACTGTTATCTATGCTGAACTGCTCAATTTCTGGTCCCACCTGAGCAACAAATTTGGCAAGCTTCTCAGCAGTTTCCATTGTTTTAGCATCCACTGCAAGTGAGAAAACAGTATGTTTGTACAATGCGTAGAACAATGGGGTCTATATAGTAATTAAACTCTCAAGACACTATGACATGAAAAATAATACTACCAAGTAGACTATTTTACTCATATCTTAATGCCTTGTTCATACTACTAGAGAATTTAAGATCTAATCTCAGATCTTCACCTACCATCAGGAAATTGAGACAACATTGCCTGGGAATGTCCAGTGGATGCCAATAAATCCTCAGTGTCTGCCCCTTCTCCCAGTGACAGAGAAACTTCTGGACTGGTGACATGCTGTGAGGAGCCAGCTGTGTCCAAAGAAGAGTTCTTCTCAGACATGCTGATTTCTGATATGGAAGATTTTGACTGGACCGAACCTTGGGTGAGCTTGTCTTGACGTTTCAGCATCGTGCCGGCTGAAAGCACAGTCTGTGTCCCTATGGTTGATTTTCTCACTTTCCTGCCTCTAACTCCATGCTGTGTAAAAATTCCAAGTCTTTTTCTTTTAAATAGCCTTTTCTTGATACTTGCTACTTTCCTGGCATACAACATTGCCCTCACTGATTCTGTTGCAGATTCTTCTGGTGTTTTCCCCTCTCTGCCTCCTTCCTTTGCAGATGATGTCAATCTTTGCATCTCTGATAACTTTAGTCTGTAGTATTTATATTCTAGACTATCTTCTTCAGACAAGAACCTACATTAGAAAAGAAGAACACATACAGCATGTGAACACAAACTGAAAACAACCCCCATATTTCAAGAATGTCATGGCACTGACTTGAATGGAGCAGGATCAGACACTAAATAGGGCAAACAAGTACGTTTCAGTTGAATCTCAGAATTATAACCATCAGAGTTAAAAACTGATCAGTCAACCACATACATCACCTGGAACCGAAGTACACAATCAGGAAGGAGCAGGGACCAGAAACAAACACACAGACAGAACAAGATTGTGTCAAACGTGAGCTGCTAAAAAATAAAGGGAAAGCAGCATTTCTTCTGCATAATAAAATTTCAAAGATGTATTCAGTCAATGTTCAGTTGTAAACTTTTGATAGAATCCCCATAATGTTTTGCTCAGAAGTACAAAGATTTCAGAGTTACAACCAACCTTCCTCCTCAAGGTGTTTATAATTCTCAGGTACTACTATTCATTTAGAACTAACTTCTCCAAGATACCTACCAATATTCAGGACAGCTCTTCTGAGCAGTTCTCTCTTTTGCTGACAAAGTGCCACTAACAATACTTTTCACTAGCTTTTCAATTGTCTCTACAACTCTCCGATCAGCTCGCTGTGGAACTGTAATGACAAAAGGGCACGGTAATTGTATTATTCTTGTTAATAAGATGTGAAGATGTCCAACCAGGTTTATAACAATATTCCAGCAGTAAGCCCGCTATTGTTAACACACTACAGGCCCATTTTCGCTAGACTGATATTTTAGGTGTAATCAGCATAATAAAAGGGGGAAGTGATCATGCAATAATCAAAGAATATAGGGAAATACGTGGCAGGATATTAATTATACTAGTTTTATAGCACAACAATTAGTAGCAGTACATAAGAACAACATAAGAACGGCAGTACTGGGTCAGACCAAAGGTCCATCTAGCCCAGTATCCTGTCTGCCAACAGTGGCCAGCACTAGGTGCCCCAGAGAGGGTGGACCGAAGACAATGATCAAGAGATTTGTCTCCTGCCATCCCTCTCCAGCCTCTGACAAATAGAGGCGAGGGACACCAATTTTATCCCCTGGCTAGTAGCCATTTATGGACCTAACCTCCAGGAAATTTAAGTCTAGTTTCAATTCCCAGTCAAATAATGGAGGAAATATTGAAGAAAATTACAACACACCGAGGATGATGGAATCAACAGCTATTAGTAGTAGTAGACATTATAAAGAACAAATCTTTCAGAATGAATAAAGGTAACTATTTGTCTCAACAGAAAAGCCACTGTTTGCAATATAATCAATTTTAGCATCATCTGAAAGAAAACATCTCAGAATTTCATTTAAAATTATTTCAAATTTGCTTGAATAAAAGTGTCATAAGAACTAACATCTGGTTTAATAATTAGAGCCCTGCAAATCTACAGATATCCACTAATGGACTATTCTTTGCATATGGTGGATTGGATGCAGATACAAATTTTATAATTATGTTTTTTTAATACAGTCCTGCACAACCAAACAGTCATGACAAACAGCAATGTAATGAATTAGTGAGAAGCGTCTACTGGGAAACTACAGGGACTGGTGTAAGGTAGTCTTTAGAGGAATTTAGTCCCGCTTGAAACTTAAGTCAAATTTAAAAAAGTCAACAGTAGTTTCACCTACTATATTTACCTCAGTGTCTGCCTCTCAACATTTGTGGTTTTACAGATGCACTTTCCCATCTTTTAAATATTAACAGAAAAGATGCAGGTAGAATTAATGAGAATAAATTAAGAAATGGAAAATTTTGACTAAAAAAAAATCAGGGAAAAATGTTGGGGAGCTCTTAGGTCTGGAACAGCACCATTATGAGCAGTGTGGCTTAAGGGACAGAGAACTGGGCTGGTGCTGTGACCCTACAAAATGTAATTGTGGATCTGTCACTGATCACTTACATAATCTGGACAAATTAATTCAGCTACAAAATGAGATTTATATACATGCAAAGAGTGTGGTGAAAATTAGTTATATTTGAATACCACTTTAACAAATAGTTTGCTTTTCACATTTTCACTCAAGGCAAATGGAGGAAGTCCTATCATTTGGAACATTTAAATCTAGACTAAACATCAATAAGTGTATTACAGGCAGTCCGCGGGTTACGTACAAGATAGGGACTGTAGGTTTGTTCTTAAGTTGAATTTGTATGTAAGTCGGAACTGGTACATATTGTAGGGGAAACTCTAGCCAAACATTTCTCCAGAGCTCAGTTTTATTCTCCCACACCTCACTTCCCTCAGTCCTTTATTCTCAAGCTGAGGTGTCTGCTGAGAAAAGCCGCTCCGCGTCTCCCTGGTCTGCTGGGGGGAAGCAGCTAGTGCGGGGTTGCCTCACCCCGTTTGTAAGTAGGGATCTGATGTAAGTCGGATCCATGTAACCCGGAGACTGCCAGTATAAGGAACTAGCATTATTTATCTAATGTGGCTCAGGTCTTCTAAACTTTTGGGGGGGGGGGCAAGAAGGGGGAAAAAAGGAAACTCATACCAGGGCTGTTTGCTCTTCCTCTTTCTGTCTCTATTAGGGAGTGACAGCAAAGCACACAGCTCATCTGTCCCCTGCACTCTCTACAGCCAGAGTGAGTAATGCAGCAAAATGTGTACTTTCCTCTCATTCCCTGATGAAGGGGAACTGCCAACAATGTCCCTAACTTCTATGATTATATGAAAAAAAAAAATCTAATAAATGTGTCAAAGTTATTGTATGGCTGTGGTGTCCAACACACTAGCCATATGTGGCTATTTGGCTAGCTGAGTGTAGCTAACTGGCTAGATGGCTGCTGCTTCAGAACTGGTTGGACATCGTGGTTTTATGGCATTTTACTTACTCTTACTTTTAGGTTTTGTGTCAGGAGCCATTTTTTTAAGCTGTATTGTTGACTCAGGTTCTATTTTCTTCATCTGAATTGAATAGCCACTTTTCTCAAGCCATACTTTCAAGTTTTCTATATATTCTCTTCCAAATAATGTTGAATCATCAAAATTTGGGAATGAAGTTGGTGTTGGAGCCATTTCCTGGAGACCAATAGCTTCAAGTATTTTCTCTTGCCTGAAAGCAGAAGCTAATGCAAAGGTTTGGCCCAGAAGTGCCAAGGACTTACGACACAGAGAAATGGTGGTCTCAAAAGCACCTGCCATTTCTCCAGAATTACTGAAGCCATTTGTCTTGATACTTAATTCATAGGCATTGCAGGCCATAAGCAGAGGTGTGACACTCTTTAGAAGACGGTCTTGGAGCCTCATTATGTACTTATCAAAAGGCTTTATGACTTCAAAGAAGCAGTTCTTAGTCTTCATGGCACCCTTGTCCAACAACATATTTAAGAATTCATTGTCTACTTTGGGAGTCTTCAAAGCAGCATGTTGTAAATTTTTGATAGTAAAGAAACAATAATCTCTGTGCTCTGGCTTTAGTGAGCATTTGAACGAAGCAAGCATTTTTGCACACGTTTCTGTTTCCAGCTCAAAGAGAGCCCCAAAAAGCTGTTGAAATTCTGCATCATTTTTTATTGTGTGAAATCCAGCCCATTTTATTATCTCTATTCCAAAGGTTGAGAATATGTCAGATTTGTCCACAAGATCAAGATTAAGCTCTCTGAACACATGCGCAGACTTAGGAAGTCGAAGAACAGGCCTTTGGGTTGTCACAGTTGGCCTCTGATTAGGTCGTATGATTAGCTTCTGATTAGGGCGCTGAGCAATTGCAGACCTCTGGTTAGGTCGTTCTGTAGTTTCTGACATCTGATCAGGTTGCAGAGCGGACTTCTGATTAGTTAATGGTAGTGGTTTTTTGGTGTTCCATTTCTTTAGAGGAGTTTTGATATCTCCTTTAAACACTTTATTTTTAATCAAGACTCTTGTAATAGGTTTTCCTCTCAGAATCCTTCCTCTACTGAGGTTGCCTCTGCGGACTGGGGGTCTAAACTCACTCTCAGATTGAAGTCCATATTCCAGGTCATAATCCTGACTTTCTACATTCCCGTACTCGTCTTCTAGAAGTCCTGGTGACCTAAAATCACCCAAGAGTTCAGAAGAGCCAAAGTCTGAGTCATGCAATCTGGAGGATTCCCGAGGGGGGCAGGGCGGCCATAGTCCCGGTCCCGAGAGGCAGGGCGGCCATAGTCCCGGTCCCGAGAGGCAGGGCGGCCATAGTCCCGGTCCCGAGAGGCAGGGCGGCCATAGTGGTCATGGTAGTAGCTATCTTTCCTCATGAGAGGGCTACTAGATCTGTAAGAAGGTCCTGGATAGTCCTCTCTAGAGTCTTCTCTCCAGTCATCATGAGGATGGTGTTGGGGACCATCATGTGAGTATCTTCCATCATCATGAAAACTGTCTTCATATCTGGATCTTGGAACTGATCTTGAATGAGCTGCGAGGAACAGTTCAAAAGAAGACATGAGGACAACATAAAATGTTTTATGTACTAAGTGTTCAGGCACATTTAGAAATCTGAGCAACCAGCACTCCTAAACACGCCCTCAAATTAGAACCCAAGTTCAATTCAATGAAACATTTCTCTCATACTTTTTTTCACCTTGTAATTGAAAAGCAATACATATAAAAAATTTCTAAGTTTTTGCATGATAAATAATTACTTAAAACATTTGAGTCACATATATATTTAGAATGTGTCCATCTGTGAATCAGTCTATCAGCCTCCTATGGTAAGAGCTATGGCCCCCAAATCACTTTCACTTTCTTCACCTGATCACTTTCTTTGATAGGATATCAAGCCTTGTGGATAAGGGAGAAGTGGTATACCTAGACTTAAGTAAGGCATTTGACACAGTCTTGTATGACCATCTTAAACTAGGGAAATGAAACCTAGATGAGGCCTAATCTAAGGTGGGTGCATAACTGACTGGATAACCATTCTCAGAGAGTAGTTATTAACGGTTCACAATCATGCTGGAAGGGCATAACAAATGGGGTTCCACAGGGGTCTGTTTCGGGACTGATTCTGTTCAATATCTTCCTCAATGATTTAGATGATGGCATAGAGAGTACGCTTATTAAGTTTGCAGATAATATCAAGCTGGGAGGAGTTGCAACTGCTTTGGAGGAGAGGGTCAAAACTCAAAATAATCTGGACAAACTAGAGAAATGGTCTGAGGTAAATAGGATGAATAAAGACAAATGCAAAGTACTCCACTTAGGAAGGAACAACCAGTTTCACACATACAGTATGAGAAGTGATTTTCTAGGAAAGAGTACCACTGAAAGGGATTTAGGGCTCATAGTGGACCATAAGTTAAACATGAGTCAACATGTGTGACACTGTTGCAAAAAAAGCAAACATGATTCTGAGATGCATTAACAAGAGTGTTGTGAGCAAAACAGAAGTCATTCTTCCGCTCTACTCTGTGCAGATTTACACCTCAATTGGAGTATTGTGTCCAGTTCTGGGCACCACATTTCAAGAAAGATGAGGAGAAATTGGGTCCAGAGAAGAGCAACACAAATTATTAGAAAACATGAGCTATGAAGGAAGACTGAAAGAATTGGGCTGGTTTAGTTTAGAAAAAAGACGACTGAGAGGGGACATGATAGCAGTTTTCAAGTATCTAAAAGGGTGTTAGAAAGGAAGAGGGAGAAAAGTTGTTCTGTTTGGTCTCTGAGGATAGGCCAAGAAGCAATGGGCTTAAATTGCAGCAAGGGAGGTTTAGGTTGTATATTAGGAAAAACCTCCTAACGGTCAGGTTGATTAAACACTGGAATAAATTACCTGGGAAAGTTGTGAACGCTCCATCACTGGAGATATTTAAGAGCAGGTTGGATAGACATCTATCAGGGATGATCTAGATCCGTGGTCACCAACCAGTAGATCGCGAGCTACCAGTAGATCTCAGGGGCTCTAAGAGTAGCTCTTGAGCCCCCTCTGAACTGCGCATCTGCACAGTACGTTTACATTAGATTTCCTCATGTAATGTAGGCGGGGCTTCAAGGAAGGGGCGGGGCAGTAGATCTTCGCCTGTTCTGAGACTTAAAAAGTGATCTTAGGTGTAAAAAGGTTGGAGACCACTGATCTAGATGGTGCTTGGTCCTGCCATGAGGGCAGGGGACTGGACTTGATTACCTCACAATATCCCTACCAGCTCTAATATTCTATGATTCTATACCTCCCTGCCTCCACTATGTTGATGGCTCTGTACCAGAAGCCGCAGTGCAAAGAGGGGCAGGTGAGAGCTGATACTCATGGGGAGTTGGCTTTTAAGTAGGCTCCCCAGGAGCACTTGTTCCTGGGGAAGCACCTGTCCTCTCACACTGCTGCCCCTGTACCAAAGGGAGTAGGGGAGAGCAGAGAAACCCTGCTGGATGGGCTAACTCACCCTGAGTCCCTCCTCACCTCTCAATCCTCACTCGCCCACAGCCTCCTGCCCTCCCACATCCCCCAGGCCCTGTCTTGACTCCTGCCACTACCTTTCTAGCTTGGTCAATTCAAATTTAATTCAAACTAGCTTATTTTAAAATTTCCAGCCCTATGGAAGTAGTTCTCTTCCAGGACTAGCACTTCAAACATGTTTAAAGACATCTGAATGAGAAATAATGAAGTTAATAGCATCTGAAGATCACATACTGCACACATGGCTAGACATGACTCCAGCACCGCTGTGTTTTTCTTCCTTTTAAAAACAAAGGAAATTCACACTACCATATGTTGACATGAACCTACATGGCCCCCTCTTATTACCTGACCCCCCTATTACACCTGTGCTTATTTCAATGATTAAACAGGCAGGATAAAAGTCTATGTTATGATTAGGAGTCTGAAGTCCCAATGAAAATAAACAGTTGCCAGACTCTGACTGGAGTAGAATTTGGTCCAATGTGTTATTTTAAATCAGCAATTTAAAATCTAGTTTAATTGGTTAACCGGTTAAACATATGGTTAACTGATTAACGGAGGAGCAGCTGGGAGAGCCACTGCAGCCCAGCTGGGCCAGAGCAACCCCTATTCCCACCAGCAGACAGAGGGGACACTCCAGCCCAGCCCTCCCCCATCATAGGCACGGATCACTCCATCTTAGAGGACAGCAAGCAAGGGACCTCCTTCGCTCCCGGTCCTGCATGGGGTGGGAGCCAGCAACCCCATGCAGAGGCCAGGTGAGGTTGGAGCAGACCTGGGCCTGCAGCTGGCTGCAGGTTGAGGGCTGCTCCTGGGCACCAGTTAACTCCTATCTGGCAAGCATCACCTGTTAAGGGTGATGCTTGCTGGGTTACCACCCATTCACATCTCTAATTTAAATGCTTTATTAGATGAAAATACATGGGAGACATTATTATACACTGAAATAAATTCACTGAGCTAGTGTTGGTAACGCTCCTTTGCCCTTACAAAATGCAAATCGGAGAAAACTTACATTTAATGAGAATTTATAGTAAGAAAATGTCCAGATACTAACAAATTATGATCCATACAGCAACTGCCCGAATCCACAGGTGAGGCAAATCAAGAGTTCATGTGGGGCCTTACCTTTAAAATGATGGATTGTTTCTTCTATAGCATCGCTTCGGTCCATCCGATACCTTTTCACTTTGTCTTGCACCACGGCATCAAAAGTCTCCCGCGTAATTCGTCTTGAGGCCATTTCTACTCTGTCGCAAGAAAGATGCTCAGTTTTCTGACTGAAATTAAGGAGGCGAACGGTTAACAGGTAAAGACGGTTCACGGGGCTGGAGCAGCCTCCCCACCAGCTGCGGGCAGACAGCACTCCAGTTTGGCCGAAGCAACTTAGAGGGGGGTCACGAACACCTTAGAGGAGGGTCACGAGCCACTGAGAGGGTGGTTGCAGCTATGGAGAGGAGGGTCACGAGCAACTGAGAGGGGGGTCGTGGTATCATAAGTTTGAGAACCCCTGACTCAAACATTTCCCTTAGACTATGATAACATGATCATTTTTAACTCTGTATGAAGATCTACATAACATACATCAATCAGATTGCATACAATGTATAGAAGATCAAACATTTTAAAAGACAAGATTAACTTACCGTACTCTCTACATTTAAACTAAAGTAATACGTGTGAGGGAAATATCAACTAGCTTTAATCAAATGCCAATCTTTGCCAAAACACAGACCTACGTTTCAGTTTTCTACACTCACCTTACTATTTAAACAGCATAACCGAGGCCTCTGCAACAGTTGTAATATCAAAGTTATCTTTAAATACTGAAAATGTTGACAGTTTCCATCTTTGTAGGTGAAATGGAACATTAAGCAAACATAGAGAATGATGTTTTTAACAATAGTGAAAATAATAGTTATTGTCTTAAAAAAATTACAGAAATTGATGAAAATAAACATCAACTATTTAAAATCCAGTACTTCACAGGATATATCTCATAGAATGAAATATACTCAACAGCAAGGAAAGCTTTCATTGGACCCAAATCTCACTGCACCTACTACTTTTTTATAGCCATTGCTCTGAAACTTTCATTTGTTCTCATTTTCTGCAGGTTATGCATTTCTTTCTTCAAGAGTCATAGAAACATCTATGCAGTTGGTGTTAATCAGAATGGCTTCATTCCAAGCAACATCTTCATCAGCTTGAATATGGTCCACAGATATTAATATACAGATTCATCATTTCATGAAATCCAGTTGTGTTTATTAAACTCGTTACAACAAATGATATTATTTAGTATAAACAAGAACACTTGTTATATATTCTCTTTTATCTGACTCATGAACCCTACAGTAGAATAAAGATATATAATTCTGATAATTTCAGATACCTACACTAAAACAGGGTTTCTTAAGATTGTTTTTGTGTGTGTGTGTGTGTGTATATGATGGCGGAAGGGGAGTGTGAATTTCTTCACGCTGAAAAATGCCGCGGCCGGTGCTTGGCCTGGCCGACCGATCGCGCATGCGCAGGGGGAGGACGAGGCGTTTTGCTGAGCACAGAGATGAACAGGCACGCGCAGGAAGGGTTGTGCGCGTGCGCAATGCCTATCTCCCTTTTTTTTTAATTAACGGCGGAGGACGGCGCGCAAGCCGGTTGGCGCACGCGTATTGAGCGCCCGTTCAGACGCATGCGCAGTCCGCACCCTGCGTGCTTTTTTTTTGTGTGTGTGTGTGTGTGTATATGATGGCGGAAGGGGAGTGTGAATTTCTTCACGCTGAAAAATGCCGCGGCCGGTGGCGCGCAGGCGTGCTGTGAACTTTGTGGCGCTGCGTATGGTGGCCG